CTCCCCAGCCCGGCCCAGATTGGCTGCCTCGCTTCCCTTTCGCGGCCCTGGTCTCTGAGCGAAAAGTGTGCGGACCCTGGCTGCGAGAGGATCGGTCTCCGTAAGGAGTTTGAGTTTATATTGATTTTTCTTATGTTCGATGGGCGGAAGGTGTTGGCATTTATGTTTGTCTCTAAGCAAGTGCTTTGTTGGCAATTTAAATGACTTTCTTTGAGAAATCCTATCTTTCTTTCCTTCAGGTGCTCATATCCTTGTTTTCCATGACAGATTTTGACGACAATATATACAAAATATACGTAAAGATGATTACTAATATAGTAATATTAAGCTTGATCATTTGCATTTCCTTAGTTTTCTGGATTATGTCAATGACTGCTAGCACTTATTACGGTAAGTACAAATGTTCTAGGTTGTCTTCCCATAATCAGAACTTAAAACTGATCCAAAACTCCTATCTTTCGTAAGGTTATGGTTATCTTTCCTTCCACAGCCTTAATTTAGTCACTTGATAATATAAACAGTGCCATGAACGTTTTAGTCTTTAGTAAATGCTTGTTGTGATAATACTGGTTATACTTTTCTCCAGGTGTCTTTATATAAGTTCCAAGTAATTATTTTGTCTACTTGGTGAAAAATAAGCAATGTAAAACATGGTTTTTTTGAGGTGATTTCAGTGATACTTTTAAATTTGAATAAGAATCTTGATAATGTAGTTTGTCAGTTTCATGTATTCCATCAAATTAATAAAAAGTTAAAAGACGGTATAATGTTTTCATTTGGAAATTTTTAAGGTTTTGTCTGCAGTTTAGACAGTCAATTAAACCGGGCTTGGTGGTGCATGCCTGTACTCTAGTACTTTGGGCGACTGAGGCAGGAGAATTGCAAATTTGAGTCCAACCTGGACAAATTAGCGACTCCCTATCTCAAAGTGAAAAACTAAAAAGAGGCTTGGAATATAGCTCAGTGCTAAGACCGTAGATACAATCTCCAGTACCAAGAAAAACAACAAAACAAGGCTGGGCATTTAGCTCAGTGGTAGAATATTTGCCTACCATGCTCAAGACCCTGGGTTTGATCTCCAGCATGTACACAAATCAAGATTCCTTTTAAAATCTGAAGCATAAATATAGAATATTTGGAACTCAGCATGGACATATCTATACATAAACTTCCTTGGTACTCCTACAAAGACAGAATAGTGGACAGCTCACAAGAGAGAAAACAGTGGAAAGGAAAGTGAGAAAGTGAGTTCTTAAAAATGATAATATAATGATTGCCATCAGAACAAAGTCTTTTTGTGAAGAGATGGATGAATAATCAGAAATATGTTCTTCAGGATATAGAAGTTCTTCATAGCTATTCATTCATAATGATGCACAGTAGGAGGTGAAGGTTTGAGAGGAGGAAAAAGGGGAAGATTCTTATCTAGACAAATAAAATAAGTGGGAATTTCTAAATTGATGTATCCTCCTTGGGCCAGGAACTTACTGCAAATGAATGAAGCTATAGAAGTGTCTGCATATTAGACATGAAACAATAGTTTTCATGTCCAAAAATAGGCTGTTTCCTACTTTTGGGATTGTTTGGCCCTCTTCTTTTACTTTCCTGTTTTTTGTAGAAACTTGGGCCTGAGCATTAGTTCATGTTTTATTTTATCATAAAGAGATTACTCAGTTTTAATGTTAGCAGTCTATTGGGGGTGGTAGAAATTTTAAATGCGAAAGCCATAAACCATGTTAAGGAGGTGGCCTCTTTTCAACTTCAATTAATTCTGCCACATAGGGCAGAGATTCCAGTTTTAAAACTAAAAAATTATATGAAATCTCCTAATCTTTAAATATTGGATCAAATTCTTTGAAAGCAGTATTCTGGTGAAATAAGATATAGGTAAACTGGATACAACTTTTGGAAAAATTAATTTCTAGCTATTGAGTCAGACTTATAGCTTGTCGGAAAGATGCTTGTTTAAATAATCTCGCCAAAAGGCAGAGGACTAATTAGATCCTGTTAAGAAAACTTGGTTCTGTGTAGTCCCTGACATTTAATACATGCCTTTTAAAAGCTGAGGAACCAGAGATTCATTTCACATATCAAAATATTCATGTTTGAGGTACCCATTATCATAAATAGCTATAAGTGGTTCTCAAAACTTGTATGTAATTGACCATTCTCCAGTAAGACTGCCCTTCTGAAAATGTACAAGTCTTAATGTATATATTTTATTTGTATGACTACATCTTAGTTTCTGTACTTATAACAACATTTTAATCCAGAATGCAGTTACCAAAGCTTACTGCCAAGACAAATCTATGTAGACATAACACAGTTTGCTTTCTACTTTTACAATTTTTCAGGTAACATACAGCCTATTTCTCCTTGGCGTTGGCTGTTTTCTGTTGTTGTTCCTGTTTTGATCTCCTATAATGGCTTTAAAAAGAAAAGTCTAGATCACAGTGGAGCGTTAGGAGGTATGTTTTTATTTTGAATCTTAAAGTACCTATGTAAGTATTTGCTTTTATAATTTAAACAAATGTTTTCTAAATTCTGAATATATAAGATGGAATGTTATATATTTTAGACATTGATGCAGTATGGCATTGCTCAGCATTTCTATTTTGTCAGAATTTCTGGAACAAACATACACTTTTAGTAAACCATACAAATATAACTTTGTAAGTGATGTAAAGTAGGATAATTTTAAGGACCTTCATTATTTTTCTCCTTGATGTGGATTACTAGTCTCCTGCTAGAAAAAAACATTGAAGCATTCCTTTAATGTGTAAAATAGGGAAATAGTTGGAAGAATAACTCTTGGAAATTGCTAGTCATAGTCTCAAACAGAGCAGCTCAAACCTAGTATTCTAGATTAATTTTTCAGAACTAAGTTGGGCAAATATTTACTGAGCACTTATTTGTCCCACTAGAAATAAGGGCTATGGCTGTGAACAGTTCTTATGGAAAGTGGTTCATTAGGTAACACATAACACGTAAATAAAATCTGTAGAAGTGTTCAAATAATGGTGGAGTTTGTGGGAAAAATTAAAATATAAAATGTGTATGGTGGATGATATAGGGCATTCTTTTATAGATACACATAAGATGCTTTCCTCTAAGGATATAATTTGGAGCTGAGTCCTGAAGGAGTATGAGAGAAGCATGTTCCAGGCTGACAGAAAAACAAACACATGAGCCCTGGCATAGATAGTCCTGGCCCTGGCCCTAGCTTCCTTGAGTGAGAAGACAGATCATTTGACTGGAAAATAGGAAGAAAGAGGAAAATAATGAGATATAAAGTTGAAGAAATAGGCAAATGCCAGGTTACATTAGGGCATATAGTATGGATTTTTTTATTTTAAAGTAGGTGGGAGCTTTCTGCTTCAGGTCAGAGGAGTGGCATGATCTGATCTGACATGGGAACTTTCCTATCCTACCAATGTTAAAAGGACCCAGGTTAGAAGATTCCCCTAATTGCTTCCTCTAGGATGAGATTTCTATAGGATAAGACTTATTTAGAGCTGGCAGGTCTTGAAGTTACCTACCCAGTCTACAAGATGCTACTGATCTTTAGCCCCCTAATGCACTATAAATAAATGGTCTCTTCTATATTTACATACAGAAGGTATTTCTCAAGTTTTATGAACTAGATTAGACTTTCAAGGCAGCAAATAGTATGATTGGTAAAGAAGGAGTGCTAGAATCGGGCATTATTAATCCTGATAGTTATGGCTCTGGGACAGTTGAGTTAACTTCTTTATGTGTCTTCTAATCACAGATAATAGAGTTTTCAATATCTAACTTAGAGAAAGATATGTTAAATAAATGAAGCTTAAAATAGGGCCCCTCACTTCCAAGGCCTTAGAGCTCTAGCAATGTGCTCTCATGGTCCTATAGTTTTAAAATTTTACCAAGCTAAAACATATTTTTGTACTGTTTCTTTGATAAAGAGATCACCAAAATTATAGAAGCTTCAGGCCCCACAAAACCTATGTGTATTCCTGATTTTATTCTGAGGTTTATAATGAGAATTGAATGTATAATTACCCTAAAGTTCTTGGTTCTCTGCACACATAGCCAACATTTATTGTATTGTGTGCTAAATATTACTGGGCAGAGTTGTCAGCATCATGCTAATTCCGTCTTCCTTTGGTTCCCATGTATATTCTCCTTGTTTCTCCTTTTTTTTTTATTTCTGTACTTTTCTTTCCTGCTGTTGTTTCTTTTCTTGCCCCATAGTCCTTGTGCATCTACTCCTCTCTTATCTTGATTTTCAGTTAAAAGATATATATCTTTGAAACCTAGCCCTGCTGCCTATAATTGATGTAACTTTGGTGAGTCACCTGACTTTTGGTAGCCTCACTTTTTTTATTTCTTATGATTCAATAGTAACTTTTTTTTTTTGTACTGGGGATCAGACTCGGAACCTTGTGCTTACAAGGTAGGCAATGGAACCACTGAACTAAATCCCTAGCCCCTCAATAGTAACATCTTATGAGGTTTTTGATGAGGCTCAAACAAGAGAACATGTGAAAACACATCTATATAATATATGATGAGCACTATATGAAGATTCACTGTTAGTGATTAATCATTTATCTCAACCATATTTTTCTATGCGAATTACTGCCATTTTGACATTGTCACAAGCATTGTTTTTTTTTTCTCCCTATCTCTGTCTTGCTCATATGACCCTCAACCTGCCTCTTCACTGTAAATTCTTGTTATCATCTCCTTAATGGAGAAGTATGGAGAGAGGTTCAAGAGAGAGTACTGGGCCGGGGTGACAATGAATGTTGCAGAAAATTAAAATTATCTCGCATAGAGTGAAATTAAGTGAAGTATTCCCACTCCGAAAGGCTATGTGGTTCAAGGCTTCTTAGTACTGAGTTATTCATATTGAATAGTATTCAAACCTGATAAAGCCATTGTTTTGCTGCCAGCCCTAACAGATAGAAATTATCAAGTGCACTCGAGAAAACCAGCGAAAGTTCTAAAGTTGGGTAGCAAAAATGTAATATATATGTTTCTAAAAAGTATTCTGTCCAGGCCTGGTGGTGGCGCACACCTGTATTCCCAGCACTTGAGAAGATGAGCAGAAAGATTGATGTGAGTTCAAGGCCAGCCTAAGCTACACAGTGAGACCCTGTGTAACAACAACAAACATTTCTGGTACTAGAATTACTATTTGATCCAATTGAGAATAAATGATAGCTACTAAATTATGAAATTTCAAGGACTGAGTATATCTTGTGTTTCTATGTCTTATGTTTCTTTGAACAGTGCTAGCCAAAAATAGGTGCATAGAAAATTAACATGAATTTTAAAACCTTGACTGTTTTCCTAATTGTTTGATTCTATGAAATATTGTTTGGGACTTTTCTTTCCTTAAGAATAGGAAAATGGAGCTAGGTGTGGTGATGGTATACTCCTGTAATCCAGCACTCAGGAGGCTGAGGCAGGAAGATTGCTGTAAATTCAAGGCCAACCTGGAGTACATGGTGAGACTCTGTCTCAAAAACGGAAAAAATAAAAATAAAAAATCAATAAGGATATACATTATTAGCCAGGCGTGGTGGTGCACACCTGTAATCCCAGTACTTGGGAGGCTGAGACAGGAAGATCGTTGTGAGTTCAAGACCAGCCTGGGCTATAGTGAGTTCCAGGTCAATCTCAACTACATAGTGAGACCCTGTCTCAAAACAAACAAACAAACAAAAAAGAATATACATTGATGATTCAAAGTATAAGAGTTGGGAGTATGATGAGAGTATGACTCTTAGGCTCTGGGTGTTGTAATTTTTTCCCTCCATAAAATGAGAAGGCGTAATGAGGATAGCATTGAGTTATTGTGAATCATCATCCATGTTAAATGCTTAGCACAGTAGCTCACCCCTATATTCTATCAGTGTCAGTTACTATTATTGTTTCTCTTCCACCACTATTTTTTTTCATTGTTTATTGGTAGTTTTTAGGTATACAGTACAGTTACATTTATCACTGGGATCTTGTACCTTTACATGACAGGCCTTGGTTCTTATTTTTTCCCCATTCCCCTGCTGTCCCTTCACCTCCTTCACCTTCCCTATTTACAAAGACTTTGTCTCCATATTTTCCTTTTCTCATATTTTTTTCTTTTCCTTTTTCCTTTCCCCTACCCTTCCTACTTCTCGACTCGCTTAGCCCTCTTCTTCCATCATCAATCATACAATTTGAACCTTATTTACACTTTTAGTTTTTCACACCGGAGAAATTATTCGGTATTTACACGTGTGTCCTGTTTCTTTCACTTGAATATGGCCTCAATATGCATCCATTTTCCAATGAATGACTAGTTTCTTGTTCTTTATGTCTGAGTAGTATTCCATTTTATTTAAGCACGCGCACGCGCACGCACACACACACACACACACACACACACACACACACATCTTCTTTATCCAGTCTCCAATTGATGGGCGATTGGGCAGTTTCAAGTTTTGACCATTTCAAACTGTGCCTCTATTAAACATGGGTGTGCGTATATCACTGTGGTATGATTCTTTTAATTCTTTTAGAAAGACTCCCAGCAGAGGGATAGTTGGGTCAAATGGAACCTCTAATCCTAGTTCTTTGAAGTATCTCCATATTGATTTCCAAAGTGGTTGCACCATTCTACAAAGTTGTTTGCACCAACAATGGAGAAGGGTTCCTTTCTCCCCACAACTCTGCCTGCATTTGTTATTGATTGATTTCTTAATGGCAGCCATTCTTTCCGGGGTGAGGCAGAATCTCAGTGTTGTTTTCATCTGCATCTCTCAAATGACCAGTGATGTGGAACATTTTTTCATATATTTATTTGCTGCTTTTACTTCTCTGTCTGAGAAATGTCTGATCATTTCAGATGCCAATTTTGAAGTAGGTCTTTATAGACCTTTGTCTGAGGAACAGTTTGAAAAAATGTTTTCCCACATTGTAGGTTATCTCTTAGCTCTGTTGGTTTCTCTTGCAGTGCAGAAGCTTTTTAATGAGATGAGATCCCAGTTGTTGATTCTTTCTGCTAGTTCCTGTATTACTGAGGATTTGTCCATAAGGTCTTTTCCTATGCCAATGTCTTCAAGAGTTCTGCGTGACTTCTCTTCTAACAAGTTTAGTGTTTCTATTTTAATATTTAGATCTTTAATCCACTTCGATTTTAGTTTAGTGTGTGGTGAAAAATACAGGTCTAGTTTTAAATCTTTGGCAGGTTGAAGCAGGGTTTTTCCCACACAGTTTATTGAAGAGGCTGTCTTTCCTCCACTGAGGATGGTTGGCTCCTTTGTCAAAGATGACGTAGCTGAGTATGTCTGGAATTGTTTCTGCATCTTCTCATCTATTCCACTGATCCATAGGTCTCTTTCTTTGCCAGTACCATGCTGTTTTTATCACAGTGGTTTTATAGACTAGTTTCAAGTTGGGAATTGTGATACGCCCTGTCATGTCTCTTCTTGTTCCAAATGAATTTTTGGATTATTTTTCTAGTTCTATGAAATACACTGTTGGAATTTCAATCGGGATTGCATTGAATCTGTATAGCAGTTTTTGTAGTATGGCCATTTTCACTATGTTGATTCTTCCTATCCAGGAACAGGGGATATCTTTCCATTTTCTTCTATCCCCTTTGATCTCTTTTTTCAGAGTGCTGTAGTTTTCAGTGTAGAGATCTTTTGCTTCCTTTGTTAGACTGATTCCTAGATATTTCATTTTTTGGGATGCTATTGTGAAAGGAATTATTTCTCTTTCAGTGAGTCTGTTATTTGTGTACAAGAAGGCTATTGATTTTTGAGTGTTGATCTTGTATCCAGCTACTCTCCTGTAGGTGTCAGTTAAATCTAGAAGTCTTTTTAAAGAGTTTTTTGGGTCTTCTATGTGGAATATCATATCGTCGACAAATAATGACAGTATAACTTCTTCCCTTCCTATCTTTATTGCTTTAATTTCTTTCTCATGTCTAATTGCTGTGGCTAATGTTTCCAAAACTATCTTGAGCAAAACTCCAGCACCACTATTTACAGTCATAATTTTACCAAGATCTGCAATATTATGCTTTTGGTGTTCATGGGATTAATGAATCAGACTAAAAAACTTTTCTTGACAATCCAGGGTTTTAGAGTCTGTCGTGATATAGAAGCACATATGTCAGTATTGCTAGAACAAGGGGGTGAGGTGGGGCAGTACTTAAGGTTCAGACTGAAGCAGAAAGCCCTGGTCTTCTGGAGAGAGAGTGTTCCTGGAATTAGGAGAGGATCGCATGATGTGGTGTGTAGTTGTAAGCTGTAAAGCACTGTTCAGGTAATTCACTCCAAAAAAAGTATCCTGTCCCTTTTTAACATAGCTTTGTCTAGTTACTGAAAATTTTTTCTCAAACTTGTAAACATGGACAGTTTTTTATTAAGCTTTGACTTGTCAAATTTAAATATAACTGCAAATGCCAGGACTTAACTGTTTACCATTTTTTCATTTTCAACAGATATTTAGTGAAGGTTCTGTGTATGCTAATCATTGTTCTGGTCACTTAGAAATTTAACCGTGAATAAATTAATTAAAATTATATGCCATAGACCTTACATTTTTGCATCAGAAGACCCATAATAAGATAAGTTTGGATCCATCTGATCCCTCCACCTCAGAAGGAAATACTGTAATTGCAGGGGACGTTCACAGCAAGGTAAGGTGGCAAGAATGGCCAGTGGTGAGCTTTTGATGGTCTCACAAAGGTGGCCTTACCTTTTTTCAGTCAACTGTAGTTAAGGTCTGGTGTTTAGTCTTTCTAAAGTAAAAACCTCACTCTTATCAGGTAGCCAGAGTTGATCAGAGCCAAGAAAACTGAATCAGTGTTGCTTATTGTCTCAAGGAATTGACACCTGAACCAGAATGTCACTTTATTAATCTGATAAAAGGTAAAACAACGAGTCAGACTGGAATATAAGCATTACTGTTCAGACATGCCCTATTCTTGGCTTCAGGCCGAGTGCAAAGGCAAGATTATAATTAGAAGATGTTTGGTAAGTACAAAGTCTGAGAAATAGTAATGTTAAGTCCACAGGTCAAAGGGTCCTCTCCCTTGGGTGGTGTACAACTAATCTGCTAACCTGTTTTGCTTCTGACCTTCATTTTCTGCATTTTGAGACTAATCTTTTGATTCCCACAGTTTTGCATTGGGCAGATTATATATGAAATAATAGATTAGATTTATTAGATAGTTATGCAATTTCAGTCCTACTTTCCCTTCTCTGCTTCCAGAGATTACTCAGGTCACCTTAACAGGAGTTTTGGGTCTAACTGCCACTACCCGACATTTATAAATGGTGTTGTTTTACTATTCCACATGGCATCTGTTACGTACAGAATTTACCTGCCTTAGGCTCAGAAAGAAAACAGTGTCATCCTTAGGTTTTCAAGCTCTTTGTAGCACTCTGTTTTCATATATATGAATCCCTTATCATTGATAGAGATTCATGAAATGTGGTGAGAAGGTGAACTAGACATGAGCAGGAGATAGCAGTTACTTGTCTAAAACTTCAGACAGATATAGTTAGGATTTGTCAAAACTTTCAAGGTGTTTTATACTGCATGAACAAATCATTTTTTAAAGACATATATTCTTTAATTCATTTGCTCAGTCTAAAGTTGTCAACTTCATGTAGGTATTTTAAGGTGATTTGAGTAAAAAGGATATAGATTTGCATTTTATAAAATCTTGATGTAGATTGTTTTAGGAAAACACTTTTTAAACTGAGTTTAAAGATGGGAATAAGCTGTTAATAGTTTGGGAGATACTTTCATTTAACTTTGTTCTATTGTAATGTTTTAAAAATTAGTTGAGCTGGGCACAGTGGCACCTACCTATAATCCTAGCACTGGGGAGGCTGAGGCAGGATGATTGCCATGAGTTTGAGACAAACCTGAACTACAAACATAGTAAGACCCCATCTAAAACAAACAAACAAACAAAAAGTCAGTTGGAAAAACTTACAGTTAAATAGTAAGGATATAACATTTATCATTATCATTGTTGTTGAGCTTTTGACAGTGGAACTATTGCTGCTGTTACAACCACTGACATTAACATTTGTTAAAGACCTCCTATTTCTTGGGTAGTATAGTAAGCATATTACAAGAATTACCTCATAACTTTTTATAGTAAACCAGTGACATAACAATTATTATTCTTATTTAACCAATGCAAAATTAAATCTTCAATGAAACAACAATTAAGATATGTTATATATATGTACCAATTCCCATGATGAATGTAATCATTGTGCACTTCAAACAGTAATGGAAATGAAAGTGAAAAAATAAAATTAATTGATTCTTAAGGAATCAACTCATGCAGAGGTAAGTGGGAGAGCTAAAATGTGAACTCCAGACTGTCCAACTCCAGAAACAAAACATTTTATTATTGATTTATTTCATACTATCCTGTATCTTGTAGTCTCTATTAGAATGCACTAAAGTAAAGTGCTTGGTAATTGAGCATCTTTGGAAGAAACTGAATAGTTGTCTCAGTTCTGATACTTAAACCTGAGCTAAGCAATGGGGTAGGTTATTATGGAAATAGGAACCTAGTTCCTTATTCTCTTATTTAACAAACTTGTATTTATTTAATAATTCATTATTAAGTATAAAGTATTATTTTTTATCATTGTATTATTCAATATCTACTTTGTTATTTAGTAGAGTTATATTTTGTGCATTATTTAACAAAATTCTTCCTTTACCAAAACTAAATATATTTATCATCAAGATACACAGAACAGAAACAGTCAATCATAGAGTAAGTCAGGGTTGGAACATTTTGTGGTACTATACAATTAAAATAGAAAAACTAGGGGGCTGGGGATGTAACTCAGCGGTAAAGTACATGCATAGCAGGTTCAGGGCCCTAGGTTCAATCCCCAACATAAAAAGAAGAAGAAGAAGGAAGGGGAGGGCGAGGAAGAAGAGAAGAAAAGAAGAAAGAAAACTAGAAATAACATCAGACAGCCTGACTGGATCATGTAAGAAAATAGTATTTGCTGTGGTTATCACATACTAGGAAAATGATTCTCAACCATATTGGCCTAAAGTTAGATTTGTTTTTTCAGACCCTCAAACTGACAGCTCTTTCAAGTTCAGATTGAGGCAAACTTGGTAGAGATCAACTTATAAAGCAGAATGCCAATTTTTTGGTGTTTCTTGGCAAATTAACACAGTGTATCCCTTAAGGATCATAAAATTGTCAAAAGCAAATCTACTCTTTGGGTGAAAAAGAAAAGGAAAAAGTTAAAAATAAGTATAAATTTGCTTGTGCTTAAAAAATAAAACAATGTGTTTACAAAAGCTGGGGAAATAGAGGAATGGGACAAAGTAACATTTCTCCAAATACACCCTTTTTGTATGTTTGACTTTTATGTTGTATAAATAAAATGAATTAAAAATAAAATTGTATTGATAAGGGTAAGAAATAGGAGAATGTAAAATTGGTAGTATACTACAATGAAACTAGTTGCATTTCGAATGGATACTCTAAAGCAGGGAAAAGGGAGTACCATGTGAACCCAGCACAGTTTTTAACTATGCATTCTTAGTCTTAGACTGAAGAGAGGAAATAATTTCAAACAAACACTGAACTGTTTATAGTAGGGTTTTTTGTTGTAGTTTGGGTAAAGCAATTTTAAGACACTTGAAGATATAATAAAGGATTGAGTAGTTGAATGGATTTGTCAGTGTTTGGGGGAGCCACGGTCCTTAGTATGAAAAACTTAGTATGGAAAATTAAATACCAAGATGGGATGAGGGAAGACAAGAATCAGTGAGGGATATATAATTTCTAAAATATATGCATGTATACGTGCACATTTTTATGTATGTGCTTGTATTTGTACATATATTTATTTGTCCTGTTCAAAAATGAAAGATAGCTCAGTACCCTGAGTCTAGATCTTGGTTTTTAATACCTACTACATATTAAAATGAACAAGAGCTACTGAGAGAAATGTCTGCTTCCAGAGGTGAGTAGAAGTAGGTTTGAGATGAGTCTGAAATATCTATTTATGCCAGAAAAGGAGGAAATGGTTTTTTTAAAAAATGAGATCTCACCACAAGATGACAGTAGCCAGCTTAAAGGGGACTCCTACTGACCACTTCTGGGACAATCTAAGCACCACAAATTAAGTACAGTAATATAAATTATTAGAAAAAAATTGGAATTCATGAGACCATACTAATAATAATTTTCTTTAAAACTAGGGAAGATCAATCTTGCTTACACTAGAATGCCAAGAGCTATTTGATAGTACAAGAATGATACAGTTGAAAAATCAGCTATAGAGATTGGATCCAGTTATGATTGGATCATAATTAAATATTAAATCTAGGGGAAACTTTTTGATGAGAGGTAAAATATTTGCACAGTTTCAAAATATTTCCCACGGATAGCATCTTTTTTAAAAAATATAAATGGCTTCACGAATTTGCGTGTCATCCTTGCGCAGAAGCTGTGCTAATCTCCTCTGTATCATTCCAATTTTTGAACATGTGCTGCCAAAGCAAGCACAGGTAGCATCTTACTCTAAAGGAAAAGAGCTGGGCAGGGGATTTGGTTCAGTGGTTCTGCCACCTCGCAAGTGCAAAGGCCCAAGTGCAGTCCCTGGCACCAAAAAAAAAAAACTAAAGGAAAAGCTTAACTTACTTTTGGGAAAATTATGCAATACCTTGACACTGAGTAAGCAAATTAATATTGCCAGTGATGGGCCAGGGATTTGGCTCCGTGGTTCCGCTGCCTGCTTCACAAGCACAAGGGCCTGAGTTCCATCCCCGGTACCAATATATATGTATGGCCAGTGACATGAAGATGGCCATCAAGTGCTTCCAGATGTGTTGCTCTGAGAAGGACACACCATCACCCTTGTATTACCTGGGGCAGGAATGTATACCTTCTGTTTAACAATGAAACATCAAGCACTCTATTTTTTAAAAATGGGTGATTATATTCTCCAAAATGACAATGCCACAAAAGAAAAAAAGCCTTGTAGAAATGATTCACACTAAAAGAGACTACCTCTGTCTGTTAACACATTCTTTCTTCAATTAAAGATGGTCTTGGATACCAAATAGTTTCCCTGGTGTGAATAATCTGCAGCAATGCATAAGATTCTAATAAGATTACTGACATTTAGAAATGGGAAGAAAGGAGCTAAAGGTGTAGGAAAGGTGGGATGGGTAGGGGAAGCGTAAAAAGGGAAAAGAAAAAAATGTGAGAGAATGAAAAGATGAAAATAAAGTGTTTGTAGATGGGGAGGGGAGGAGGGGGTGAAGGGAGGGCAGAGGTAAGGGGAAAAAATGAGAATCAAGACTTGTCATGTAGAGGTACAAGATCCCAACAATGAATGTAACTGTACTGTATCCCTAAAATGTACCAATAAACTTAATTAAAGCTGAAAAAAATTTTAAAAAAAAGATGGTCTTGGGCAGTCACATCCTATTTAACTTCTTGAGGTCACTGGGATTGAATTTTGTGTATACTGAGTGTTCAAAGACTTGCCTTTTCTGGGTTTTGTCATTTTCAATCGATGAATTTCTAAACTTTTTATATTTTTATTCTAATTCATTTTTTGTAGTATTAACTAACCATTGTGATAAATACAAGGGGCAATCAAAATATAGTGAATGTTTAAATTTTTTTTAAATTTATTACAGTAAAAGACACTTTGAGCCAGGCATGGTGGCACATGCCTGTAATCTCAGCACTTGGGAGGCTGAGGCAGGAGAATTGCTACAAGTTTGAGGCCAGCGTGGGCTACTAACGCTTCCACAAATGGCCAAAAAGTAAACATTTTGAACCAATTCAAGACATGGCAGCCTTAACAGTGCAACTAAAGACATTTACTTTAACACTAAATTTTGTTCACAAGAACATTTTAAAATTCTGTTACAAAAGGTTAAGGATTATCTGGATGATTTTTTTTTTAAGTTCCAGGAAATGTTTACATTTTCGTATGCAGTTATCTAGAGTGGGGATTTATTAACTTTTCTACACAACCCACAACAAGTTAAGTTTCAAGCCTGTTCACCTGTCTTAGCTGTTCATTTCAGAGGTCTCTTTCCATATTGCTATGAGAGCAAGAGTGCATCTTTGCTTTTTTTTCTCTCTTTACTATCATGTAGTATAAAGTCCTTTTTTGTATTTCCTCGTTTGTGGGGAGGGCTTTTTGAGACAGAGTCTTGCTATATAGTTCAAGCTGGTCTTAAACTCACTATGTAGTTCAGGCTGGTCTTGAACTTGCCACAATCTTCCTCTGCCTCCCAAATGCAGGGATTACAGGTGTACATCACTACACTGGCTTTATTTCTTGATTTAATGGCAAGTTTTATAAGCCTTCATTAAAATTGATCACCCTTCAAAAAATGAATGCCCCAGGGCCAGAGATGTAGCTCAGTGGCCCCAAGCCTACCTAGCAAGCACAAGGTCCTGAGTTTGATTCCTGGTACAGGGAAAAAAAAAGAATGCTCCATTTTTTGTTTTCCTGAACAAAATCTAAACAGACAGAGGAGAGTTGAAAAATCTAAAAGCACACTCAGAGAACATTCCCATTTGAAGTTGTGCTTCAAATTCAGATTATTTTCCTGGATTTCTACAGAAAATTTAGCTGAGAAAAACTGTCTCTACCATTTTACCATAGATCATCAAGCTCGGCAAGAGAGCTTGTGAAAGTTCTTTGGAATGCATAAAAACCTTCTCTGCTTTTAAATTCCCTTTTGAAGATGGAAAAAAATTCCAGACTATAGGTGGAAAATGTAAAAGGTATTAAAAAGGTAGTATAAAACTCGAAAAACTATAATCTCATTCTCTACACAAGACTATGGTTAGTTTGATTCTCCTAGTCAGTGTATAATACAATTGGTTTTTTGGTTTTTTGTTTTTTGGTTCTAGGATCAAACTCAAAACCTTAGGCTTGTGAGGCAGGTGCAATGCCACTGAGCTAATCCCCAGCCCCTAATATATATTGTTTAATAATCACTACTATTCAGTTATCCAATTTCCAATTTATGAGGCAGGTGCAATGCCACTGAGCTAGTCCCCAGCCCCTAATATATATTGTTTAATAATCACTACTATTCAGTTATCCAACTTAATTATAAAAAATGTCTAAAATAGTATCTAACATTCACATAGCATTTGAAATATCTAAAAAGTTTTTGTCAGCTCAGTAAATTTGACATTCATTATACTGCTTGGTAATAACAAACACAAATGCATTGAAAATGTGCATTACACATATAATGTGAAAAATCCATGACAAATACAATTTTTCAACCATTCGTGTAGAGATTAATTTTAATTCAATTTTTATATGTTTCTTACAGGGATAGTGGTTGGATTCATCCTAACCATTGCAAATTTCAGCTTTTTTACCTCTTTGCTGATGTTCTTTCTTTCTTCTTCAAAACTCACTAAATGGAAGGGACAAGCAAAGAAGCATATCGATTCAGAATATAGAGAAGGTAAGATTAATTACGTTTGTCATCGCTCAAAATGGTAAACTGCTTCATACTATCATAAGCTTTTAATCAAAACATGTTGTTTAGACTGCTAAAGCAGGTAAATTTGATTTGAGAATTACCCAGTGGCCTAATATAGTCTACCATTTATTTCACCACAATAGGAAATGAACAGAATTTTTGAAGCACTAGAATCTATCATTCATTATTCTAAATTTTTTTTTCCATTAAGTCTATTGATACTTTTTAAGTAGACGGTACAGTTACATTCATCATTGGGATCTTCTACCTTTACATGATGTATCTTGGTTCTCATTTTTTCCCCAATACCCCTGCCCTCCCTTCACCCCCTCTAACCTTGCTTATTTACAGAGACTTTGTTTCCATTTTTTCCTTTTCTCATATTTTTTTTCTTTTCCCTTATTTCTTTTCCCCTACCCTTCCCATTTCCCCTAAACCATTAGCCCTTTTCTTCCTATTTCACATTATCAGTTATACAATTTGGATCTTACACTTTTAGTTTTTCATATCAGAGAAACTATTTGATATTTACACGTGTGTCCTGTTTATTTCACTTAAGAGTATGGTCTCACTATGCATCCATTTTCCTATGTATGACTAGTTTCTTATTCTTTATGGCTGGGTAGTACTACATTTTACAGAAAAACCATATCTTTATCCAGTCTCCAATTGATGGGCAATTGGGCTGTTTCAACTTTTAGCTGTAATAAACTGTGCCTCTATAAATATGGGTGTGCATATATCACTGTGGTATGATTCTTTTAATTCTTTTAGAAAGATTCCCAGTAGAGGGATAGCTGGGTCAAATGGAACCTCTAATCCTAGTTCTTTGAGGTATCTCCATATTGATTTCCAAAGTGGTTGCACCATTGTACACTCCCACCAACAATGGAGAAGGGTTCCTTTCTCCACACAACCCTGCCAAAATTTGTTATTGTTTGATTTCTTGATAGCAGCCATTCTTTCTGGGGTGAGGTGAAATCTCAGTGTCATTTTCATCTGCATCTCTCAAATGACCAGTGATATAGAACATTTTTTCATACATTTATTTGCTGTTTTCTTTGTCTGAGAAATGTCTGTTCCTTTCAGATGCCCATTTTTGAATTAGGTCTTTATATTTGGGGGTCTTACTTTTTTGAGTTCTTTATGTATTCTAGATATTTGACCTTTGTCTGAGGAACAGTTTGAAAAAATGTTTTCCCACATTGTAAGTTATCTCTTAGCTCTGTTGGTTTCTCTTGCAGTGCAGAAGCTTTTTAATGAGATGAGATCCCAGTTGTTGATTCTTTCTGCTAGTTCCTGTATTACTGAGGATTTGTCCATAAGGTCTTTTCCTATGCCAATGTCTTCAAGAGTTCTGCGTGACTTCTCTTCTAACAAGTTTAGTGTTTCTATTTTAATATTTAGATCTTTAATCCACTTCGATTTTAGTTTAGTGTGTGGTGAAAAATACAGCTCTAGTTTTAAATCTTTGGCAGGTTGAAGCACAGTTTTTCCCACACAGTTTATTGAAGAGGCTGTCTTTCCTCCACTGAGGATGGTTGGCTCCTTTGTCAAAGATGACGTAGCTGAGTATGTCTGGAATTGTTTCTGCATCTTCTCATCTATTCCACTGATCCATAGGTCTCTTTCTTTGCCGGTACCATGCTGTTTTTATCACAGTGGTTTTATAGACTAGTTTCAAGTTGGGAATTGTGATACGCCCTGTCATGTCTCTTCTTGTTCCAAATGAATTTTTGGATTATTTTTCTAGTTCTATGAAATACACTGTTGGAATTTCAATCGGGATTGCATTGAATCTGTATAGCAGTTTTTGTAGTATGGCCATTTTCACTATGTTGATTCTTCCTATCCAGGAACAGGGGATATCTTTCCATTTTCTTCTATCCCCTTTGATCTCTTTTTTCAGAGTGCTGTAGTTTTCAGTGTAGAGATCTTTTGCTTCCTTTGTTAGACTGATTCCTAGATATTTCATTTTTTGGGATGCTATTGTGAAAGGAATTATTTCTCTTTCAGTGAGTCTGTTATTTGTGTACAAGGAGGCTATTGATTTTTGAGTGTTGATCTTGTATCCAGCTACTCTGCTGAAGGTGTCAATTAAGTCTAGAAGTCTTTTGACTTTTGGATTTTCTATGTGGAGTATCATATCGTCAGCAAATAATGTCAGTTTAACTTTTTCCTTTTCTATCTTTATTGCTTTAATTTCTTTCTCATGTCTAATTGCTGTGGCTAATGTTTGCAGAGCTGTCTTGAACAAGAGTGGTAACAGTGGATATCCTTGTCTTGTTCCTGATTTTAGCATGAAGGTTTTCAGTTTTTGGCCATTTAATATGATACTGCCTGTTGGTTTTTCATAGATAGCCTTTATCAAATTGAGATAAAGACCATCTGTTCCAATTTGCTGCTGGGTTTTTATCATGAATGGGTGTTGAATTTTTTCAAATGATTTTTTCTGCATCTATTGAGATGATCATATGGTTTTTGTCCTTTACTCTGTTAATACAGTGTATTACATGTATTGTTTTACATATGTTGAGCCATCTTTGCATCCCTGGAATAAATCTGACTTGGTCAGGGTGTATGATCTTCTTGATGACCCTCTATGTTCTGTTTGCCACTATCTTATGAAGGATTTTTGCATCTGTGTTCATTAGAGAGATTGGCCTGTAGTCCTCTTTTTTAGTTGGGTCTTTCCCTGGTTGTGAAATCAAAGAAATACTTGCTTCCAGAAATGAATTTGGAAGTATTGCTTCCCTTTCAATTTCATTGAAAAGTTTAAAGAGTGGTGGCAGTAGTTCTTCTCTAAATGTCTTGTAGAATTCAGCAGTGAAGCCTTGAGGACCTGGGCTTTTCTTTGTTGGTAAATTTTTAATTACGTTTTTAATTTCACTGATTATAATTAGGATGTTTAGAATTTTTTTCTCCTCATTGAGTTTATTGGTACATTTTAGGTATACAGACCAGTTACATTCATTATTGGGATCTTGTACCTTTACATGACAGGTCTTGGTTCTCATTTTTTCCCCTTGTCCCTGCCCTCCCTTCACCCCCCTCCCCTCCCCATTTACAAACACTTTATTTTCATTTTTTCATTTTCTCATATTTTTTTCTTTTCCCTTTTTGCCTTTCCCCTATCCTTCACACTTTCCCTACACATTTAGCCCTTTTCTTCCTATCTCACATGTTTAGAATTTTTAATCTTCTTCATTCAACTTTGGTAATTCCTATGTATCTAGAAACGTGTCCTTTCCTTCTGTTTTCTATTTTATTAGAGTACAGGTTCTCAAAGGAGGTATTGATGATCCTCTGGATTTCTGTTGGATCTGTTGTGACTTCACCTTTTACATTCCTAATTGCATGTATCTGAGCCTTTTCTTTCCTTTTTTTTTTTTTTGACAAGGTTGGCTAAGGGTTTATTGATTTTATTTATTCTTTCAAAAAGCCAACTCTTTTATTCATTGATTTTTTTGTATCATTCTCTTAGTTTTCATTGCATTGATTTCTGCTCTGATCTTTATAATTTCCTCTCTTGTACAAGCTTTGGGCTTTTCTTGCTCTTTTTTTCCCCAGTAGTTTAAGATTCATTGTTAGGTTGTTTATTTGAGCTCTCTGTTTTCCTAGTGTGGGCATTCACTGCTATGAATTTTCCGCATAGAACTGTTTGCATTGTGTCCCATAGATTCCTGTATGTTTTTTGGCATTCTCATTTTTTATAAAAACTGATTGATTTCTTCCCGAATTTCCTCTGTGACCCCTTGATTGTTCAAAGAGTGTTGTTCAATTTCCATGTGTTTGTGAAGTTTTTACAGTTTCTTATGCTGTTGATCTCCATAATTGCACTATGGTCTGATAGTATACATGGAATAACTTCAGTTCCTTTGCATTTATTTAAACCTTTTCTGTGAGCTAGGATATGGTCTGTTTTGGAGAATGACTCATGTGCAGCCAAAAAGAATGTATATTCTGATTTTGTGGGGTGGAACACTATGTAGATGTCTAATAAGTCCATTTGTTCAAAAGCTTGGTTCAGTTCTAGTATTTCGTTGTTGATTTTTTTGTCTAGATAATCTGTCTATTTGTGATCGTGGGATATTTAAGTCCCTCACTACAATTGTATTGGTTCTTACTTGGTTTTTCATGTTCCTTAATATTTGTTTTATATAGTTGGGGCACTAATATTTGGTGCATACGTATTTATGATTGTTACCTCTTTCTCTTGGATTGTTTCCTTTATAAGGATGTAGTGGCCTTCTTTGTCTCTCTAAGTTTTGGTTTGAAATTTACTTTGTCTGTGAATAAGATAGCTACCCCTACTTTTTTCTGGGCTCCTGTCACATGGGGAACTGTTTTCCATCCCTTTACTTTCAGTCTATGAGTTTCTTTTTGAACTTGATCTGTTTCTTTTGTACAGCACACTGTTGGATTTTGCTTCTCAATCCATTCTGCTAGTCTCTTTCTTTAGATTGGAAAATTGAGGCCATTAACATTGATGGTTATAACTGATATGTATTGACATCGTTATCATGTTATTTTCCAGTTGTCTCTTTTTAAGGTTTTCCCCCTCTCCCTTTAGTTTCTTTCCTTGCCTAATTGATTTCCTCTATTGGGTTTCGTGGTATTGTGATCTTCACTGTCTTTTTGTAGGATATTCTTTAGAATTGTTTGGAGTGCTGGTTTGGTGTTCATGAAGTTTCTCAGGTGTTCTTTGTCATGGAAGTATCTTATTTCCCCATCCATTTTTTTTTCTCTCATTGAGTTTATTGATACATTTTAGGTATGCAGTACAGTTTACCCATTCATTTTGAAAGAGAGTTTTGCAGGATACATCAGTGTAGGTTGGAGTTTGTTTTCATTTAGAGTTTGAAATGCATCACTCCAGGCTCTCCTTGACCTGAGGGTTTGTGTTGAAAAGTCTGCTGGATTCTGATGGGCTTCCCTTTACATGTGATTTGTTTCTTTTCTCTAACTGCTTGCAGTATTTTGTTCTGTTGGGTTTCCGGGATCTTGACCATTATATGTCTAGGTGTAGATTTTTTTTTATCATGGCTACTTGGAGTCCTATTTGCCTCACTTATTTGTAGTCAAATTCTTCCCCTCTGTTTGGGAAGTTTTCTGTCATTAATTCTGTGAACAGCTTTTTTAAGTCATTTGTATTTTCTCCTGCTGCTTCATGGATTCCTATCAGTCTTATGTTATTCTTCTTTGCATCATCTAGGAATTATTGGATTGATTTCTCATGATCCCTTACTGTTTTTAAGAGAACTCTCTTTTCACAGTCACTAACTGCAATCCTATCTTCTATATCTGAAATTCTGTCTTCTCAGTCTTTTATTCTGTTGCGTATACTTTCAATAAAGTTTTTAATCTGCATATCTGTTTGAATCTGTTTCATGGATTCCATAACTTTCCTGTGTTGGCCATTCGTGGTTTCCATTTCTTCTATGCTGGCCACTCATGGCTTCTGTCATGGTCCTCAGCTCATTTATTTTTTTGTCAGTTTCTGTTCTAGAGTCTCTAATCATGTCTTTCATTGTGTTCACCATCTCTATAGTTATCTGGGAAATTAATTCTGTTTTGAATTTTTCTAGAGTCTGATTGATCTGTTTTGTTACTTCCTTTGCTGAATTTAGGGTGTCCTCATGGTTGACTGTCAGACTTTTCCACCTCTTTCCCCTAGAATTTGCCATTGGTGAACTGGAAGTCTGTATTTGTGCCTCGCTTAAGTGTTTTCTCATTTTTTTGTTGGTGGTGGTGCTGTCCTTGGTTTGATTACTGGATTAGTACTTTGATCTTCCTGATATAGCTGCTGTTTAGGTTTTGAGTCTCTAATGACTCAGAGACACTCGCATTTGTATAATACCAGGAAGGACAACTTATTAGATCAATCACAACCCTTTAGCCCATTTAATACAATTAGCAATACAATAGCATCAAGCACAGCTTAGAAATTGATGATTTGTAGTAGTTATTAATCTTTAATCACCTCTAACCATGTGATTTAAATCAAAATTGAGGACCGGCCCAAAATATGTTTATCATGAATAAACTCTTCAAAATAGCAACTTTACCCTTCAGGATGGGGATGCAGTAGTTTGGAGTAGAGGAATAGATAAGTAAAACAATAGGAGAAGGTTTCAAGTGAAGCCAGAGGATACAGGATGATCACGCAAACTCTAGGAAACTCTTGAAGACAAGGGTGAAAGACAGAGTGCAAGAATAAAGAGAAGAATAGAACAGTTTAACAGTAATAGGGAAGCTATAAATTGTTCTCTCATTCATTTGAAACTAATTTCATTCAGGCAAAGGAAAAAGAGAAGAAAAGAAAAAGAAAAAATCCAAATTGGGGCAGGAATAGGAACAAAAAGGAAGATGAAGAATAATGTGGGGGAGCAAGTGACTGAGTGGGAAAAAGAAGAAAGAAAAAAGGAAGAATGGGAAAAAATAAATTTTTTAAATAAAATTTTAAAATTAAAAATAAAAGGAAAAGAAAAAAAATTTGAAGAGCCTCTTTCAGGTTATATCTCTGCTGTCACAATAGACCATGTGGGCAGCAATGTGGAGAACTAAGTCAATTCGTCTCAGCTAGCCAGCAGCAGACCCCTGAAATTCAGGCTGAATTCTGGCTGTAAGGCCCAAGTTGAGCTCCCTGACCTCCTGCAGGGTTGAACTCTACTCTGCAAGGTTCTTCTGCAGGTTCTAGCTGCCCTTCCCCCTGAAGATGGTCCAAGTTCTGATGGAAGGTGGTGATCCCTCCAACTTACCAACTACAGAGGTCTGATGTGCCTTTGTTGCAGTTGTTCACTTCCATTCTATCTTCTGGACCACCTGTGCCTCTGCAGTTTGGATCCAGGTTCCTGCACAACCAGGAGGCCTGAGAGCATGGGGGCCAGGGAAAATGCTGCAGAGGTGCTTGCACAGCTGGGCAGTCCTCACCCATCTGCTCCAATGAAGGCCCAGGGCACTGGAGGTGGGGGAGCAGTGAGCTTCCTGCATGGCTGGGCCCTAAATTTATTACTAATGGTAGAAAAGGTGGGCAAAGATGCCATACCACTTTTTGTCTTAAAATTTTTAGTCGTTTTTCCTAAACCTTAAAACACCAAAAAACATTTGTCTTTTTTTGTCTGCTTCTATGCCTCTAGGAGGACAAAGAAATTGGATTCAGGTGTTCTGCAATGGAGCTATACCCACAGAAATAGCCCTACTCTACATGATAGAAAATGGCCCTGGGGAAATGCCCATCGACTTTACCAAGCAGCACACTGCTTCCTGGATGTGTCTGTCTCTCTTGGCTGCCCTGGCCTGCTCTGCTGGAGACACCTGGGCTTCAGAAGTAGGCCCAGTTCTGAGTAAAAGCCAGCCAAGACTGATTACAACCTGGGAGAGAGTTCCAGTTGGTGAGTCTTGATTTCAGTTTCTTAAAGAAATAAGAACAAAAGCAAAACCTTCCTGACTTAATGGATTTCTTATTTAAGAGCCTTTGCAGAATTTTATTTGGTCTCTTTAATTGGAAAATTGCTAAAGGCTATTAAATTGGTGATAATAAACAATATTTGCAGCAAATGTTAACAAGACATAGATAAATTAGAGGTAGACCTAGACCTAGATAAACATGGAGATTGACCCACAAACCTACCAGGGGAGGAAAAAAAAAAAGAAAAGAAAGTATTTCTCAAGGGCTTAGTATGTAATTAATGCTTATCATACCCAGTTAGCACTCCAAATCTGTAGATTAAAGCAACCATAAATTGAAGATGTCCAAAGAAAATAAAAATATCATCTGTACTGAAAGCACTTACAAGTTTTGTCTTACTTTTCTTGTTCCTGAGACAAAATGTCCAACACCCAAAGTTAAAGGAGGAAAGGTTTATTTTGGCTTATATTTAATAGAGGTTTTATTCCATAGTTGTCTGGTTTCAAAGCAGGGTGGCATGGCAGAGGGACACTGCAGAGGAGAAATGGTCCATGGCAAAGCAGAGCAGGCACAAAGTTACAAAGCAGCAAATGGTAGCACCAGCAGAAACAATAGCACCAGCACCCTTCTTTCTGTCCCTTATTTTTACCCTTTGGGTGTGTGGCACTCACACCTAGGGAGGGGCACCCTTAATCCCAATATTGTACCTTTAATCCCATCATCACACACCCTAGACCCAGCCACCTCTGAAAGCCCTACCTATGACTGTATGAAGCTTTGGGGAAACATGTAGATACAAGCTATAACATTCCCTAAATAATACTATATAATAACTCTTTACATGACATTTACATTATGTTAGTATTATAAGTAATCTAGAAATGACTGAAAATATATGAAAGGTAGGATGTGTGTAGGTGACATACAAGTACAGCAGTTTATATCATGAACTTAAGCATCCAAGGATTTGTTATCCACAGGGGGTCCTGTGGACACCAGCGACTGCTGTATGACTAATTTCCCTATTACCATTATCAACTACTATTATATTTTTTGTCATCATCCCCCTCATACCCTTCTTTTCCTCCCCAATTCTCTTCTTTCACAATCTTTTCTTCCTCTTCTTCGTCATCATTGTAATAATAGCTAATCTTTTGACTACTTCTGTGTAGATGCAAAGCATCATTCTAACTGCTTTACATGGATGAATCTGTTCTTTTATTTCCATCTTGTGAACAAGCAAACAAGGCACACAGAAGTAGCAGTCTGACACCCCTGAACCATTCTGCTTTGCTGCTTAGAATTCAAGAGTTGTTTAAGAGAAAAATCCTACTTTCCTAAGTAGTCTATGGTCTTGATACTGCATTAAAATAGATGTTAACAGATACTGCTTTATCTCAGTTGGAACCTAAAAAAATTGATCTCACAGAAATTAAGGATACTAGGGGGTCAGGGGAGGAATAAAAAAAAGAAATTAAGGGTACCAGAAGCTGAGAAGAGTAGAGAAGAGGGAGCGATAGAGGTAGGTTGATTAGGAAGGTACTAAATTATAGTTAAATAAGAACAAGAAATGCTGGTACTCTGTTGCAGAGAAGAAGGGTGATTAGAGGTAACAATAATGTCCTATATATTTTTTAAAAGCTAGATGAGAGGATTATTTTAGTGACTCTCCATAATGAAATTATAAATATTTGAGGAGATAGATGTATTTACCTGATTTGAGCATTATATAATGTATGTATGTATCAAAATGTCATATTGTACCCCATAAATATATATATATATAATTTTTATGTATCAGTTTAAAATTTTACAATTTAAAGAATTAAAGAGACTTTTTTTTCTTTTAATTAAATAGATACCCCAAGTTTTTGGCTTTGTTTGACTTTGTATACTTGTTAATTATTAATCAGATGACGTTGTGCATGTTTTTTCCTTAGGAACCAATGGAGGGGTTACAATGGTGGGACTTGCTTCCAGTCTCCTTGGTGGAACCTTTGTGGGCATTGCATACTTCCTCACACAGTTGATTTTTGTGAATGATTTAGATATTTCTGCTCCTCAGTGGCCAATTATTGTATACGGGGGTCTAGCTGGATTACTAGGATCAATTGTGGACTCATGTTTAGGTGCGACAATGCAATTTTCTGGTAAGAACATCACCTTATTATTGCAACTTACTGTGTTTTTTTAAAGAAATGGGGAAGAAAAATGGAAATTAAAAACTCAAGCAATGAAAACAAATCCAAAGACACAAGATGCTGAGAGACCAGAAATGACAGATCACTTTTGTATCTTTTACAATTTTTGGATTTTATTCTTTCATGTTAAATTAATTGAAAGAGAGTTAACTTTGCAGATCAGTGATTAAAGTTGGATACTATAGTGCAAGGCCATTACCTAAGCTCAGGAAAGTAGGACATTGGGGTCAGATCATTTTAACGTACCTTCTTCCATTTGTTTTCTGCAAATCCATTTCATAAGTAAATTATTGGACTAATTTGACTACATAAACATGATCTACTTTTCTACTGTGTTAATCATGATTGCTATCCCCAGTACTGAGTTTTTAGCAAGATAGATGGGAGAGTCAGTTTTCCTAAAATTTTCAGTGCTTTTCCTCTGAGGCTCTCCCAGCCTATCAGTATACTGTTAAATTCCATTAGGTATATATTGACTACACACTGTACCAACCATATTTTCTCCTTTGAGTAACATCAGGATGGGGCTGGGAGGCTGGAGAAGGATCCCCTAATCAAAGTAGTTCTAGTACTCTACAAACTCCAAGATAATCTTACCTTGTCACTACTGTTTCCACCAATCAAAATATTAGCCCTCTAATGTTTCATTAGTTTCATTAGGAAGCAGTCTGGTTTTAATGAACACTGAAAGGTCATTGTCTCTACAAACACTCAGAGTACACTTTTCTCCTTTGCTTATTGATTGATTGATTGATTGATTGATTCTTTTGTGGTTGTTGTTTTTTGAGACAGGGTCTCACTATGTAGTTGAGACTGACCTGGAACTCGCTATGTAGCCCAGGCTGGTCTCAAATTCACAGCGATCCTCCTGCCTCAGCCTCCCAAGTGCTGGGATTACAGGCGTGCGTCACCGTACTCGGCTATTTATTTATTTTTGATAGCAACATTTTATACTTATTAAAGGTAGGAATGGAAGCAGGTTCTGCAGAGCAAATTTAGGCCAAATAAAAGTAAGAAAATAAGTGTACTCTATAGAATGAAAGCAGGCTACTAAGAGAGAACACAGTAGCCCACTTTTCTTTTTAAAGAACCTAAATTTTATTCTAATTTGGACCCTAAGAGGGGAAGCATATGAACATATCAAGTGGATTGAAGAAACAGTGTGATCAGTGAGGCAGATTAATTCATTCTGTACATCATTTGGTACCCTCTGTGTCACTTTACTTATGCAGAGATTTATTTTTCATAGTTCTGGATGTAGGAAGTTCAAGATCAGGACACCAGCAGTTCGGGGCCTCGTGAAGGCTTACCCTCTGCTTCCACACTGGCACCTTGTTGCTGCACCTACACATAGTGCAAGGAAGAAGGGCAAAGGGATGAGGCAGCTCTGAGGAGATCTCTTTCATAAGAGCATTAAACCTATTTTTGATTTGACTGCTTCCCAGGGTCCAACTTCTCCATACAAATACAGTGAGTCTTGGATCCTAATGTGAATTTTGGAAGGACACAAACATTCAAACCATAGAAGCTTCCTTTTGTGTCAAACCCATGCTGGCTGTAAACAGTGCTGAGGCCACAAAGATGAGTCCTGCTCACAGAGGCTTCATAGGTTGGTTTTGGAGAGGAACTCTAGGAAGACAGCCCAACCTTGCTGTTATCATACGGTCTCTGCCTTTCATGTTCTCCCATCTCCTCCTGAAGCAGTGAGAGGTACTAACGGCAGCTCTGGGATGTGCTGAAACCCATTTATTCAAACAGGCCTTTTGTAAGCAAGGGATCCTACATATCTCACCATGTAAATTATCTATCAGGGCCATTTCATAGGTTACTGTTAGTATTTCAAAGATTGTTTCCTTTGGAAGAAGAAAGCTAAGTTGTTCTTATTTTAAATCAGCCACTTGGATCTTCTGTTTGTTTTTTCCACTTTAGGTTTGGATGAAAACACTGGCATGATTGTGAACAGCCCATTGAACACAGCAAAGCACATAGCAGGAAAACCTATTCTTGATAACAATGCAGTGAATCTGTTTTCTTCTATTCTTATTGCCCTCCTCCTCCCAACAGCTGCTTGTGGTTTTTGGCCCAGAGACTGAACTTTACTTAATTTCCACAGGTTGGAATTGGTCCAATTAAATTTGCTATTCTAAGTTTTGTCCTAAGAATAGTAGTTGTAATGCCAAAATGTAAATGTCAGCTCCTCTCATATTCCATTGTAAAGGAATTACACATTTTTTCTTTCATCAACTCCCTTTAACAGCTAATATCTTTCTACTAAGAGACAAATGTGTAAAACTTATGCACATTTTTCTCCTACTGAATGCAGCTTCATAAGCAATGGAGCTATATTTTTCCTTTATTTTGCTGTACATTGAACTGAAAGATCTATATAGTCTATGTAAGATTTGGTTTTCTTTTGTAAATCAATGTAAGGACTAAACATGATGATATGTTTAAGGTGATTGTCAATTGTAGCAGAAAAAAGACCACTATGTCACTTACTGCAGTGTTGTATCTGTTGCGAGTAGTTTAAGACAAGCTGGTATGTGTGGAAGCTTAAGTAAATGTAGTACCCTGGATTGATGTGACCCTGACACTCATATTTTTGAAAAGTGCAAAGGTTGGTCCCTAGTGAATTGTATGGCCTGCACTGCATTTTTCTTCCTTCTTCCAGATTAGTGGTGAAAAAAGGTAAATGTCTTTTTTATATGAGCATTACAAAGTGTGAAAAAATTATGTGTAGCTAAAAAACCAAATTTTATCTGAACGGTGTATACCTTAATATACTATTTTGAATTCATCTTCAGTGCATTTTGTAGCTTTCTTTGAAATATACATAGGAATCTGGTTTAGCCTTGGTAATCTGAACAGTTACCAAAGAGTCACTGGAAGTTTATTTTCATTAGTTGTTTTGTTTGTTTCTTTGTTTATTTTGCTTTCTGTACCAGGGGTTGAACTCAGAACCTTGGCACTTGCAAGGCAGGCCTTGTGCCACTAAGTTAAATCCCCAGCCCAATTTTCTTAAGTTTTTATAAGTCACTGGAAAGTACTATGATTTTCTTTTATGTATCTTCTAACTTGTGCTCACCTTTACATTCATTATAGCTTCAAACAGTGAATTCTGTTTTCCAGCTTTGTTCTTCACTATGACTTACCTGTGTTCTCTGAAAGTTTTGACATGGAGAAGATTATTTTACTAAATGTATTTTTAAATGTTTCTCATGTGATTTCTGTACATTTATCCCCCTGCTCCTTTTTCGTTCTTAAAGAAATTAGAAAGGATTCCATACATAAGCTACTATCGGTGGATATGTTTAGTACTCTTTATTGGTGCCTCTTCTATAGAGTTTATCTAGAACTGACTTGATTTGAGAAGGAAAGCAAAGCAGTTTTAAAGGAGGAAGCTTAAAGGAGGAAAGGTTTATTTCAGCTCCCAGTTTGTAGAAGTTTCAGTCCATAGTTGCCTGGCTCCAAAGCAGGGTGGCATGCAGAGGGGCATCACAGAGGAAGAATGGTTCATGGCACGGCTGGTAGAAGGCAACAAGCAGCAACAGCAGCAAGCTTCTCTTCTTTCTTTCTCTTTATATTCTATCCAGGCTACAAGCTTATTGATTGGTGTCTTCCACATCCAGGGTGAGATTTCTATTATCCATACCCTTAATCCCAGTATCATACCCTTAATCCACATTCACACATCCCAATCCAGCCATCTTCAAAACTGCTCGCATATGACTGCATGAGGCTTTGGGGAGACATCTAGATATCGGCCATAGCATTGTTCCTTGTCCAGAATTTTGATTTAGCTCATCTGGGGTACTGCCTGGGTATTAAGACTTTCTAAAGCTCTGTTGCACATTAGAATCATGAGAAGGTTTTAAAAACATTGTTGCCAAACCTTCTAGTAAAATTGAATATTTTAAGGTGAGGCCATCACTTTCATTTTATTGTGGCATACTCCGCATTTTGGTATTTTTAGAAAACTCTAAACATGGTAAACTCTGGTAAACATTATTGTTTAACCACATTGAGACCCAATATCCTAAAGCTCTATATCTAAAAGGAACTTTTAAAACACTGGACTATTCATCTTAGGGACAAAACCTAATAGTAGCAGCACTGCAGGTTGCCTGTCTTTATGAATTAATCACTGGTAATTATCCAGTATCTTATTGCTGCATCACTTTCCAGATCATTGTGTGTGCACACGTGCAGCCCACACATTATTCTAACGTATCTTTTCCTGGGGATTCATTCTAATGACATTTGATGGAACAAAAATACTTATTGGGACCACTTTGAGATTGGCAGAATCACTGTATTATTAAGTTTGGAGAAATGATGCCTTCAAATCATTTACTTGAAAACCTAGACATTTTGGAAATAAAAATTTTCATATTGTAGAAAATTAATGTAGAATTATTTAAAATAGTTTACTCAGAACTGAGAAGTCCTCAGTAGAAACTCATTATCAGATATAGTCCTGTTTTTATGGTAAATTATGACTATCCCTATTCAGTGTGATAACTAAAGGCTTTAATAAAGAGCTTCAGCTTAATCAGTAGGGTTTTGTCACCTAACTTGTGAAAATAATCTGTTTTCATAATTTTGTGGTATAAGAATTACATTTAAGAATTTTTGATGTCCTTTTTAAAAAAAAGTTCTGTATCTGTTTTAATATAATTTATTTTCTTGGATATTTAACTCAACCTCCTTGCTGAGTGGGCAGTTTTGTTAAAAACGCCTTCTATGGAAGAGTTCCATGTAACTGTGATACAATACTGTGTGCAGCCTGCCTAGACAAGCATAAGGCACCTTGTCCCTTACTACACTGTGACACAACAGAGAATAGCAAAGTGCACATGGCCCAGGGCAGCTCAAGGGGTCTAATGTTCAATCCACCAGGAGACCCAAGAATTGACACAGGAGGTCACTTCATTCTCAGATTTTCTCACTCCTTGCCTCCTACCTTGACTCATATACCTTTCGTGTTTGTAGCTGCTGCATATGTCTACGTTGCTAGTGCAGAAATGTTAATGCCACCAATTAGATAAAGCCCTAATTCAGAGAAAAACCATGTGGAATGTTGTAAAATTAATCACATGCCTGCAGTATGAACAATGGCTGCTCCTTGTGCCCACAGTGGATCTAATAGGGCCCAATGATCTGAGCTTCCTTCTGAGGAGAAACTGTCATAGTCACCAAATTCCAAGTGAACTGTGCTTGCTTTAAAAATGAAAACACTGCGGGGCATGGTGGCGCATGCCTGTAATCCCAGCACTTGGGAGGCTGAGGCAGGAGGATCACTGTGAGTTCAAGACCAGCCTGGGCTACATAGTGAGTTCCAGGTCAGTCTCAACTACATAGTGAGACCCTGTCTCAAAAAGCCAAAAATAAAAAATAAATAAAAATGAAAACACTGTGGTGTCACAGGCCTGTAATCCCTGCATTTGGGAGATTGAAGCAGAAGGATCACCATGAATTCAGAGCCAGTCTCTGCTTCATAGTATGTTCAAGGCCAGCCTGAACTATGCAGTGAGACCTTTCTCAACAACAACAACAGAAAGGAGCACAATTCTCGGCTTAATTATTTAATATCTGTATAGATTGTTGTTATTCCAAATAGTTCTAAATATTTTTAAAATACATAGTGTTCCATATATGTTTCTAATCAGTATTTCCCTTGCCTCCGAAAGTTGGTAATGAGGAACATATTCCTGGTGGGAAATAAAAAATATTTTAAAAATAATCTGACTATTTGGCTTTCTGAGGACTGTGATTCCAGCATTTCTGAATCATATAAAATAATATTAATGATTTTGACTAATGAATCAGAAAATTATTGTAGTAGGAGTAAAAGAATGGCACAGCAAGACTCCTGAAATTATTCACCCTGCCAAGACTTATTTCTCTCCCATTTATTGTACCTGTCCCTTCAAAATTTAATTTATAAAAGTAGCAGCTTTTGTGCGTTTGTATTTTGTCTTGATTAATGTTTAATACTGATTCTGTTCTTTTTATAAAAAATTAGAATATTTGGCTAAACAGGTGAAGTAAAATTAGAATATTTGCGATAAAGCTAAAATATCTTTGACCTTTCAAAGTCCTTGTCCCCCTCCTTTATCTTCTCCAAAGTAATTACCACTAAAAATATTTTTATATAATATTTGTCCCAGATGTATTTTAACATAGTTTTTAAAAAATCAACAAAATTGTAGTTAGTACTCTGTGTGCTGCCTTAAGTCAGGTGCTTATAGCCAAGAAAAATGTAGCAAAAAAGATTGGAAGAATGTACATGAAAATGTCAGTGTATTACCTGGTAAGGTGATAGATGTTTTAATTTTTGTTAAAATAACTTTAAATTTTTAAATATATATTATTAAAACTATTAAAACACATATGCAGAATTGAGGATATAGCTTAGTGGCTTTTAGCGCTTGCCTAGCATTCTCAAGGTTCTGGGTTTAATCACCAGTATCACCAAACAAATTACACACACACACGCACACACACACACACACACACACACACATATATGTATATATACACACACACAATTAATCTTCAGTTCTTTTCAGCACACACACGCACACACACACACACACACATATATGTATATATACACACACACAATTAATCTTCAGTTCTTTTCCTACGTCTACAATCAAATGTATTCTATAAATCAAGAAAAACACTTAAACCTTAAAAAGTGACTAGGAATTACCCACTTCCCTTCTACTCCGCCATCATTTTAAATGATATTTTTTCTTTATAAAGTACTTCATTAACAATGAAGTAAAATGGACCTGACACACATGTACAGAATACTCTGTCCCCAAAAGAGTAGAATATACCTTCTTTTCTAGTGAACATGGAAGATTCTTCAGGACAAACCTGAATAAAATGATTATTAACCAATTCACAAAAAACATTGTATGAAGTATCTTGACCAATTATAGTGGAATAAAACTAGCATCGATAGCACAAAGAAAAAAGGGAAATCCAAAAATATGGAGAAATCAAGTAATAATTTTAAACAAATAATGAATCAAAGTAATCACAAGGGAAATTCAAAACTACCTTGAGACAAATGAAAATAGAAATACAGTGTACCAAAACTTACAAGATGAAACAAAAGTAGTAAGAGTAGTTCATAGCTATACATTTTTAAAAAATTTCTTCAGGTATGCTTGTACACACCTATAATTCAAGCTACTCTGGAGGTTAGAGGAAGATAACAACTTTGAAGCCAGCCTGGGCAGCTTAGACCCTGTCTCGAAAAATAAAAAGGGCTGGGATATAGGTCGATGGTAGAATACCTGCCTAGCATCTAGCCTTGGTTCGATCCCCAATACTACAAAAAAAGCAAAAACAAAATCTCAAATCACGAACTTCTGCACCTCAAGAAACCAGAAAAATTTTTTAAAAACGCAAAGCTAGAAATAGAAAGTGATAAATATTAGAGCAGATATAACTGAAATAGAGAATTAAAAACTAGAAAATAGAAAAAAATCCACATAACCAACAATTGGATTTTTGGAAAAGTCAATGAAACTGACAAATCCATAACTAGAATAGCTAAGAAAAAATCAGAAGACTTAGATAACTAAAATCATAAATGAAATAACCAATGCCAAAAAATTATAAAATAATATGATAAGCAGTTGTATTCCTCAAAATTAGATATATTGAAGAAATAAATACCTGGAAATAACCTATTTAGTCATGATGAAATAGAAAATATGAATAGGCTGATAATGAATAAGAAGCTTGAATTAGTAATCAAAATACTGGCAAAAAACAAAAAACAAAAAAACACCAGGACCATGTAGCTTCACTGGAGAATTTTACCAAAAATACAAAGAAGAAGCGACAGTTTCAAGCTCTATTTCTAAGACCATCATTACCTGATATCAAATAAGACAGACACTACACAATATCGCTGATCAATTTTGATACAAACATCTTCAACAAAATACTAGCCATCAGAATTCAACAGCACATTAAAAGGAGTATATACCATAATTAAGTCGTATTCTTGAAATGCAAGGATGATTCAATATAAGAAAATCAGTTAATGTAATATACCACTTCAACACAGTGAAGGATAAGAACCACATGATGATCTTAATTTATGCACAATTTGACAAGATTGAACACTGCATTCAACAAACCTGTAATACAAGGAAATTATCTCAAAATAATAAAGGTCACGTCTGCAAAGCCTACTAGCTTACATTTTATACTAAGTGGTAAGAGACTGAAAGCTTTTCCTCTAAAATCAGGAAAATGGCCAGGATGCCCACTCTGGCCACTTTTGATCAACTGTGGGAGCCCACGGTGGCTCTCTGGCATTTGACATTTGAAAGGAAACTTCTTCCTCTACAATGAAGGCATTGATACAAGCTATGTAACATTTGTTACCTTTCAAGGACTCTGTTTGGTAAGCTTATTTGTTCTTTGACCCTGGAATGGGAGGAACTCAAAGAGATAGCCAAAGATTTGGTGGTATCTGTAGAAATCAGGAATTCCTGTTTTTGCATAAGAAATGATGCAGATGATTGCTTGATGCTTCCTGTTAATGTGCCTTTAAGGAAAGCTATTTCTGTAGAAATAAACCAGACTTCTCTTGGTCTCCACTCAGGTGTGAGTGTTCTTTCCTTTCTCAATCCTCACTCCCCAACTCAGGTACATTCGTGTTGTGAAGGCTAGGCCGTCACAAGTGGCACCCGAACGTGGGGCCTGAGTATCGAGGGATCCAGTGAAGGACACCGCAGAGAAGAAAGAGGCCTCAATGAAAAGGTAAGGAGCGGTGAGTTTTCTTGTAAATATTAAAAATGGGAGCCAGCGTTAGTTACATGTTTTTTGTACATATTTTTAAAAATTATTGAGTGTAGAGGAACCTGAATCTTATAATGATTATATAACTGAAAGTGAAACTATTGTTCCCATGGCTCTGCCGGAGCCCCTAGGCTCTGAGGAAGAAGCTTCTAAATATTATGAAAATGTAAGGCCGCCTTCAATGGCAGCAGCCCATACTAAGGATTCACAAAACATTCAGTTGGAAGACAGGATGGAAAAAATAGAAAAAGTGATGGAAAAAATAGTGTCTCAACAAATGGAAGCTCAGTGGACTAGTCATAAACCTCCAAAAAACATGCCTGCCCAGTGGCAGATCTTAATCCTTCCCCTTGTGACAATTGGTTAGAAAAGGAACCTTCTTTGATTGCTTTGGCTTCAGGGTCTTGTGAAGGCTGGAAGCCTGTGAGAGTAAATTCCCAACTTCTTAAGTCTCCAGTTCAACAGGGTTTACAACAAGCCCTTAAAGAGGGTGAGGATGTATCTGCATTTTCTCTGGCCTGCCCAGTTTTTGAGGCTCAGGATGCTCAGGGAAATCTTGTTCGTCAACATGCTCCAATTCCTTTTAAACAATTAAAATAATTAAAAATGGCATGTGCTCAGTATGGCCCTATTGCTTCTTTCACTCAAGTCTTGCTAGATTCTTTGTCCACTGATGCTCTCCCTCCATTTGACTGGAAACAAATTGCTAAAGCGTGTCTTTCTGGGGGTGATTACTTGTTGTGGAAGTCTGAATATACAGAATAATGCCAGAGAATAGCAGATCTTAATAGACAGCAAGAACTTAATGCAACTTATGAGATGCTAGCAGGAGAGGGACCTTATGCTGAGGTTACTCAGCAATTAGGTTTTCCCCCAGGTGTGTATGCTCATATTAATATTGCTGCTAAAAATGCTTGGAAAAAACTTCCTTCATCTGGACCAGCCTCAGAAGATCTTTCTAAAATTAGACAGGGACCTGATGAGCCTTTTCAAGATTTTGTGGATCGCTTGTTACAAACGGCCAGCAGAGTCATAGGAGAATCTGAAGCTGGTATAGTTTTAGTAAAACAATTGGCCTATGAGAATGCTAATTCTGCTTGTCAGGCCGACCTTCGTCCTTTTAGAAAGAAGGTTGATTTATTTGATTATGTTCGCTTGTGTGCGGATATAGGTCCTTCTTACACTCAGGGCCTTGCCATGGCTGCAGCTTTTCAAGGAAAAACTGTAAAAGAGGTCTTATTTCATCAACATAGAAGTGGCCCTCCAAAAAGGGGGAATAATGGAAATTGCTTTGGCTGTGGTCAGGCAGGACGTTTAATACAAGACTGCCCACAACATAAAGAAAATAGATCTTTTTCAAAGCCTCCTAAAGAACCTGGTTTATGTCCTAAATGTAAAAGAGGAAAACATTGGGCCAATGAATGCAGATCTAAAAAAGATATTATGGGTAATCCTATCCAGTCGGGAAACAGGTGGAAGGGCCAGCCTCAGGCCCCGCATCAAATTTTGGAGGCATTTCAGAATCTGAAACCTCAGATCATCCCTCAAAATCAGTCAAAAAATCCATTCAGGACTTATTCCGAGCCACCTCAGGCAGTGCAGGATTGGACCTCAGTTCCTCCTCCTATGCAGTATTAACCCCTGAAATGGGAATGCAAGCCCTACCCACTGGAGTTTTTGGGCCACTACCTAAAGATACTTTGGGTCTCTTGTTGGGTAGGAGTTCCTCCACTATGAAAGGTCTTATGATTTCCCCAGGAATTATTGATGAGGACCATACTGGAGAAATTAAAATTATGGTTTGTTCACCTTCTCAAATTTCTGTTATTCAGCCTGGACAGCGTATAGCTCAATTGATTCTTTTACCTAGGATAGTCACCTCAGGAAAATATAAAAAAGCCATTAGAGGGGATAAAGGTTTTGGGTCCTCAGATGTTTATTGGGTGCAGTCTATTGGAGCCAATAGGCCAGAAATAAAATTGTTAATTCAAGGAAAATCTTTTATTGGGTTATTAGATACTGGTGCTGATGTCTCTGTTATAACTGCTGACCAGTGGCCTTCCACATGGCCTTTACAGGAGACTGTCTCTCAATTACAAGGCATTGGTCAAAGTACTGATATGTTAAATTGGAATGATTCTGAAGGACATTGTGGGACTTTTCAGCCATATGTTATTCCTGGCCTCCTGGTTAATCTATGGGGAAGGGATGTCATGCAACAAATGGGAGTTTATTTATATAGCCCTAATCAAAAAGTTTCTAATCAAATGTTTGATCAAGGATTCTTGCCTAATGTTGGTTTAGGAAAGGAAGGTCAAGGAATTCAATTTCCTGTGACCCCGACAGCCCATCCTTCTAGACAAGGCCTGGGATATTTTCCCTAGGGGTCATTGACATGCCTGCACCCCATGCAGATCCAATTGTCTGGAAAGACGAAAAACCTGTTTGGGTTGATCAATGGCCCTTAACTAGTGAGAAGTTAACAGCTGCCCAACAGTTAGTGCAGGAACAATTAGATAAAGGCCACATTGAGCCGTCTGTCTCTCCTTGGAATTCCCCAATTTTTGTTATAAAGAAAAAGGCTGGTAAATGGAGATTATTACAAGATTTAAGAAAGATTAATAAAACTATGGAAATCGTGGGAACATTCCAACCTGGTCTCCCCCTTGCCTCCGCAATACCTAGAAATACTTTTAAAATAGTTATTGATTTAAAGGATTGTTTTTATACTATACCTCTAGCCCCTACAGATTGTAAATGATTTGATTTTAGTGTCCCTTCTATTAATTTCCAGGGACCTATGCAAAGGTACCAATGGAGAGTTTTGCCTCAAGGTATGGCAAATAGCCCTACCTTGTGTCAAAAGTTTGTAGCACAGGCACTTTCCTGTCTTAGACAAAGTTATCCTTCTGTTTATATGATACATTATATGGATGATATTCTTTTAGCAAATGAAGATGAATCATTATTGCTTACTGTATTTGTTTATTTACAAAAGGTTTTAAATGATTATGGATTAGTTATTGCTCCTGAAAACATTCAATGGGAGTCTCCTTTTTTATATTTGGGATATCAACTTTATCCTCAAAAAATATTTACCCAAAAGTTACAGATTCGAAAAGATAATTTGAAAACTTTGAATGATTTTCAAAAATTGTTAGGAGATATTAATTGGATAAGGCCTTATTTAAAATTAACTACTGGAGAATTAAAACCTTTATTTGACATCTTGCAAGGGGATCCTGATCCTTCTTCCCTCAGGATCCTCACATACAAAGGATGATTGGCTCTTCAAAAGGTGGAAATAGCTATTTCTAATCAACAGATATTTTATTCTGACTATCAAAAACTCTTAGAAGCTTTTATTTTTCTAACCAAACATTCCCCTACAGCTGTTTTGTGGCAGGACGGACCTTTATTGTGGATACATTTATCTGTTTCGCCTGCTAAAAATTTACAACCTTATTATGAAGCTGTTGCACAACTTGTTCAATCAATCCGATGTAATGCTCGGAAATATTTTGGTTTGGAACCTTCCAATATTGTAATTCCCTTTACAGGAAAACAATTAGATTGGTTGTTTCAGAATTGTGATTCTTGGGCTATTGCATTTGCACATTTTTCAGATCAAATTAAATTTCATTATGTACCTAATAAACTGTTACAATTTGCAAATCTTCAATCTTTTATTTTTCCAAAAATTATTTCATTTAAGCCTATACCTGATGCCATTGTTATTTTCACTGATGGGTCTTCTAATGGAAAAGCAGTTTATGTTATTGATGGTCATGAAAAGGTTTTTTCCACATGTGCTGCTTTGGCACAAGTAGTTGAATTGCGTGCCATTCTTTTTGTTTTTCAGGAATTTGCTCATGTTTCTTTTAATCTATATACTGATAGTCAATATCTGGCTAAAGCCCTTCCCTTTTTAGAAACTGTGGCCTGCATTAATACCAGTAATTTAGAAGTTCAACAACTTTTCATTCAAGTACAAAACTGTATTCATGCTCGTTCTCTTCCTTGTTTTATTGGACATATTTGAGCTCATATTGTTTTACCTGGCCCATTGTCTTTGGGAAATCATCTTGCTGATGTTTCCACAAAATTTATTGCATTTTCAAAAATTGATTTAGCTCATCAATCTCATCAACTCCATCACCAGAATAGTCATACTCTTAGATATCAATTTCAGATTCCTCGAGAAGCTGCCCGACAAATTGTTAAACAGTGCTCCACTTGCCCTCAATTTTCTTCTGTTCCACATTATGGTGTTAATCCTTGAGGTTTGCTTCCTAGTCAACTGTGGCAAATGGATGTTACTCATGTAATGGAGTTTGGAAAACAAAGGTATGTACATGTTGTTGTTGATACTTTTTCAGGATTTATTCTTGCTTCAGCTCAAACAGGAGAAGCTACTAAACATATTATTGCTCACTGTATATATTGTTTCTCCATTTTAGGAATACTTCAAAAAATAAAAACAGATAATGGTTCTGGATATATTAGTAAGGCCTTCAAACAATTTTACCAACAAATGCATATTGTGCATATTACAGGCATTCCCTATAATCCTCAAGGACAAGGAATAGTTGAACGTGCTCATGGCACACTGAAACTGAAGCTCCAAAAAATAAAAAAGGGGGAGTTATATCCCTTCTCACCTAGAAATTACTTAAATCATGCTACTTACATTCTAAATTTTTTACAAATTGATAAGAATGGCCATTCAGCAGCAGAAAGATTTTGGCATCCACAAGGTTCTCCATATGCTTTGGTAAAATGGAGAGATCCTTTAACTAGCCAATGGTATGGACAAGAGATTGTAAATGAAACTGATAATGAATATAACAGCTATTTTAATTATAAGTTAACCAATTGTATATTTTTCAGAAATGATGACTTCCTTTCAGTATGTGATGGTTTTGAGTCAACCTCCCTTGGTAACAATGCCTGTAAAAACTTAATGAGTCCTGGCATGAAGATCAAGGTTTACAAATGTTGATAGAGGTAGAGAAAGCTACATGTCAAGCCTTCACAGCCCATGGTATAACCCCTGCAGAGGCTGGTAGTCAAAGATGGGTAAGGGAATTGTGGAGAAATATCCAACCTAAGACAGAGCATGAGTATTAAACTTCTCATGGCTTGATGACGGGTAAGGGATTTCTCTGGACATTTCTCACCTAAGACAGGCACAGTCTTTCTGCTGAGCTGGGAAGCTCCCTGCTCTAAAAATAATAAAAAAGGGGGAATTGTGGGAGCCCACCGTGGCTCCCTGGCATTTGACATTGGAAAGGAAACTTCTTCCTCTACAATGAAGGCATTGACACAAGCTATGTGACATTTGTTACCTTTCAAGGACTCTGTTTGGTAAGCTTATTTGTTCTTTGACCCTGCGATGGGAGGAACTTAAAGAGATAGCCAAAGATTTGGTGGTATCTGTAGAAATCAGGAATTCCTGTTTTTGCATAAGAAATGATGGAAATGATTGCTTGATGCTTCCTGTTAATGTGCCTTTAAGGAAAGCTGTTTCTGTAGAAATAAACCAGACTTCTCTTGGTCTCCACTCAGGTGTGAGTGTTCTTTCCTTTCTCAATCCTCACTCCCCAACTCAGGTACGTTCGTGTTGTGACAGCTGGGCCGGCACAATCAACATAGTATTAGAAATCCTAGCCAGAGAAGTTGGTCAAGAGAAAGAAACAGGCACACAAGCCTTGTGATCCCAGCAATTGGGAGGCTGAGGCAAGAGAATAACCCCAAGTTCAGGACCAACCTGAACTGCATAGCAAGACCCTGTCTCAAAAAAGAAAAAAGTTTCCAAATTAGAAAAGAAGTATCATTGTATCCATTTGCTGTTGAAAAGATATTGTAGAAAACCAGTCCATCAAAATAGAAATCTTAGAACTAATAAATTCAGCCAAGTTATAGGATACAAAATTACTATATAAAAATCTATTACATTTATATACACTACCAATCTGAAAAAATTAAAACAATTTACAGTAACAAAAAAAATTTAGGAAAAAAATAACCGAGATGCATCATGTAAAGGTTCAAGATCCCAATGATGAATGTAGCTATACTGTACACCTAAAAAGTATGAATAAATGATGAAAAAATATTTAGAAATAAATTTAAGAAGTTAAAGAACTTGTACACTTAAAACTGCAAAATATTTCAAATAAATTAAAGCTCAGTGTTGTGAGTTTATAATCACCTATAATCCTATAATCCCCATAATCCCAACTGCTTGGGAAGCTAACCTTAGAAGGAAGGTCTCAAATTAGAACAGCCTGGTAAACTTAGCAAGACCATTTCTCAAAATAAATTTATTTTTTTTAAATAAGCACTGGAGATGTAATCTAATTATAGAATGCTTGCCTAGTATGCTTGTGTCCTTGGAGAGAAAGGGACAGGGAGAGAGAGAAAGAGAGGGAGATTAAAGAAGACACAAAAAAGGCTCATATTCATGGGTGGAAAGACATAATTAAAATGTCTCTGCTGCCAAAGGCAATCTACAGATTTATGAACTTCTATTAAAATCCCGGTGATATTTTTCAGAAATAGAAAAATTCATCCTAACATTTATGTGAAATCTCAAGGGATCCTAAATACCCAAAGTTGAAGAATTCGTAATCCTTATTTTGAAACATAGAGTCCACACATACACACACACAAATGTGTATACACTTCGGGAAAAGAAAAATAGCATGATTTTTTTAACAGATGGTGTTACCCTCATATAGGGGCTCCTAGAGGATATTTTAAATTGCAGAAAACCTACTACACTGCCAGCCCTTAGAGAAGAAATTGAACATGCACGTGCAGCTATCAATGACCAGTTACCCAAGCAGTAGTTCACCATACTAATAAATGTCTGGAAGGTAATGGCCACCATTTTGAGTACCTCATAATTGTGGATGCCAAAGGTAACTTGTATTAATCTCATGATGTCTCAATAAGTTTAGTATTGAAATATAAATATTTAAATAATAAAATATTAAAATATATAGG